ATACTGATGCGGGGCTCCACGCGCGTTTGTTGTTTGTAAGTTGGTGTCGGCGCACTAACTACGGATGATATTACTACTGTTTCTGCGTTGCAATTCCAGTCGTTAGTGTTACTGCGGCCGATGTCCTATGATTTCTATTGTTATATCATCAATTACTAATATCATCATCTGATGTTATTATCGATGCGTGCCTAGCCAGAGTTGCGAGGATGTCTCAGGCGAAGAATTGCGAGGATGTCTCAAGCGAAATGGGCTGGACCACCTCTTGAGCGGCATCTCAGAGCTCAGCGGGTTGGCGCAAGCCTCCCAACTATAATGGCGCAAGCATTTATATTTTTGTTTGGGCCCAGCGGGGTGGCGCAAGCCTCCCAGTTATCATGGCGCAAGCCTTTATATATTTATCAACCCTCGCGCACAGCACGGTTCAAAGAGAGCTCTAACACGAGCCAGAAATTATCAAGACAATTGTTCCCTACCATCTCCATTGGGGTTCCTGCGATGCATGACTTCGCGCTCAAGACCATATATCCCATGAAACTCTCGAAATCGTAGCACCATGTGCTACGCGGATTCTGGTACTTTGACAAATAAACGACATGCCACAGCATATGGAACTTCATTGTAAACTTGTACAACAACTTGCCATTTGATACGGCCGTAGTCGTCAACCAATTGTAGTGCACATGGAACCGTTCCACGTCTCGCAGCGCATCAGATGATTCACCTGCCGACAAAAACATGCTTCCACCAGTCAAGTTTCTGCACATAGAAGCGAGAGCCGCCAACGCTGCAAGCCTGTGAGTGCCCCCTGTCGGATCCAGTGTTGACCCTGGCGCGCAAATACTCAAGGGCGTACAATAACGATCTGGACTCTGCCGCCTTAGCCTTGAGAAACGGAAACTCCGTAGCGCTCGGCCTGAACATTTGTATCTTCAGATTTGTGAGCTTGTTCGTAATGTGAAGAAGTCCGTACACCTCTTGTATGTATTGCCACAATAACTTCACCTTCTTGTCAGCTGCACCAGTGCACGGCCCGTCGAAAACCAACTCCCTGAGAACAGAGCCAAGGACATACAAGAGAACGCCTAAGTCACCGCAGTGCATGAGATCGCCCATGTAGTGCCACCTGTCGACTCCAACTACGTTGAAGACCTCATTGTTTGAGAGCGGTTCTACATCAGGGCCAGGTTCCACGAGGTGTCTTTTCCACTCTGCCCGAGGATGCACATCTGTGAACTGGTAGGGCGCAGCACCTCTGCCAGCTTGGCAGAGCCAACGCGCGAAATCACTGCCCCAGTGCGGGTACCCCCATTCGTTGCTGGCCCATTCTTGGTCCCCTTGGAGTTGCCATACAACGAAAAAATGTTTACCCTCGCATATATCATCACCTGCAATCGTAGATTGTTTGCTATATTCGTCCCATTCCCTGCCCCAAGGATCCACCTCAGAATGCCTCCCATAAAAAGAGGGCATTCAGCACGTGTCGCAGAACTCTCCATATTTTGTCAAATGTGTGGTCCTCGGTAGACAAGCATGTCTACACCGCGGTAATAAGTGGCATGATCCATTTGGAAGTTTTCGCCAGCAAACCCTTTTTTTTTTTTTTAATTTGTTTTTTTGTTTTTCTTTTTCTTTTTTTTTTTTTTTTTTTTATTTTTGCCTTTGTTTTTTTTTCTTTTTTCGCCAGCAAACCCTTCAAGTTGACAACTATCAAGTTCCGCTCATTCTTTTTCGTGAAAGGCGCGCCATCACCGTGGAGCACCAACGGTATAGCTTTTTGTTTCCAGTCTGGCCTAGACGTCATTTCACCTAAACTTGCAAGCCGTGGGTCGCCCGGACGAACTCCGTTCCAGAAGGTCGTAGGGTCTCCCCCAAACGCTTCCTCAAATACAGAGTGATATTCATTGTACATCACATCTATGACTTCAGCTGGATTCAGAAAACTAATAGGTGAATCGAACACTGGCAAATCTTTTTGCACCACCGGCAACACTACAGTAAACGGTTTCGGCACTGACATGTTATTGCAAAACGCTCTCAACATATCCCTGCGACAATTGCCTGGATATTCGCCGTGGCAACCGATGGCACTTAGACTGTGATGTCGGGCTGATCGAGCCCGTCGTCAACTGCTGACTGCGCCAGCCATTGCGCTGTGCAAGAACTTATTAGGCCCCATCCCACATGCAGCAACAGATTTTCAGCAAGCTTGCTGTGGGTCTTGGTGCCCTGCTCTGCGCATGTATCTGCAACGTGAGCTTGACGTTGCGACCATCCACCGCTGGTTGCAACCCTTGCTTTTACTGTCGCCTCCCAAGGTGATTCCATGAAACATGGATTTCCAGAAGTGGTGGTATGTACCTGGATGGCTGGTCTGAGCCAAAATGGGCTACGAGCTTTGCGTGTGTCGAGTGTTGGCATCGTGTTGCGAATTGTTGTTCAGTAGTGTTGAGTGTTGGCATTGTATTGTTTACTGAATGTTGACGTGTGTTGAATGTTGCTGGTGGTGTTGAATGTTTGTATTGTTGGCTCTCAACATTATGTTGTCCGTTGAAGGTTGCTGAGTGTTAGCGCCACTGGCTCTTAGCATTATGTTACCCCTAGTTTATCAGAGTGCTTAAACATTAAGGGCCTTCAAAGCTTGCAAGGTTGGAAGTTATAAAATGATAAAGCTTGACAATGTACAGGGAAAGCTTGCAGTGTTAGAATGCCAACCCATACGCTTGAAAGTTCAAAAGTTTGAAACTTCAAAAGTTTTCCAAGTTTGAAATTTTGACTCACCTCCTCCTCCTCCCCCTCCTTCTCCGCCTCCTGATTTTGCGTGACTCCAGGTTGCCCCCGACGGTGTTGACCAACCTGGTTCCCCCGAGGGGTTTGACCGACCTGGTTCACCCGAGGGGTTTGACCTCGTTTCACTCAATTTCAAAAAGGTTCAAACGTGCCAAACGTGCCAGACGTTTCAAAAGTTTCAAACGTTTTAAAAGTTCCAAAATTATCAAAAGTTCCAAACGTTTCAATAGTTTCAAAAGTTCCAAAAGTTTCAACGTTACAAACGCTCAAAAGTTTCGAAACCATCTCAGTCTTCGATTTCAGGATACCCGATCAACACCGAGCCCGTATTATCTAATCCCTACCTTTGAATATGTATTGGTATGTGTTGAGCAGTTGTTGAGTGTTGCGATTGTTTGTTGTATGATGACAGAATTGAATGTTGCGTTCCCACTACTATGTGCACAACTATGGTTACACTTTACAACTCTGGTTGCGACTCTGTCAATTGTTTAGGTGTCTACTGTTCAATTCGGCGGTCGTATGTTGTGGCGAAGTCTGACCATAGTATTCACAATCGGTCCCATCACCCTCTCCTCCCCCTGCTCCTGCTCCTCCTCCTCCTCATCCTCCTCCCCCTCCCCATCCACCTCCTCCTCCCCCTCCCCCCCCTCCTCCCCCTCATCTTCATCCCCATCCTCCTCCTCCTTCCCAAAGAGGAGCAGGAGGAACAACGATGCGCACACGCAAGGGTCGCACGTTCTCCAACGGACGAGGTCCACAGTTGGGCGGGCGCAACATCGGGGAGTGAAGCATCGCATATGCAATCGCTACTGCATCGGAAACTCGAGGCTGGGATCTCCCCGCTGGACGGTCCATGCCATTGAGTGCATCATTACTATAACTGAAATTCGAACTAGTGCATCAGGCATTGCCTCATGCGCGCCATGCGCCTCCGCTCCTAATGGGGCGATGCGCAACAGGATGCAAATTGCGCTAATGTGGCCCCCAGGGGCGCCTCGAGGCCCCCAACATTTCCTTATGCACGCCCTGCGCCGCTGGCGGGCCCCGTTCGGACAGGCGCACTCGGGCCCAGGTGGGCCCGCAGGCCGTGCACGAGGAAATTGCGGGTGATTCGAGGCGCCCCTGGGGGCCACATTGAGCGCGGTGAAGGAAGGCCTGTTAGCGAGCATCCACCAACACCAAACTGCAAAATATGGAAATCGATACCATCAGCCACACCATCCAATCGATACCATCAGCCACAATCGAACGTAACCATTGATGATTGGCCAACGCACGTCGTAGCGTTCAACTCGAAATCATACTCTAGTCCGACTTCTTGAAGAAAGCCTTGTTCGTGAAGAGCTCCTTTGAGGAGACCATGAGCCTGGCTGCGTTCATCATCTCCCTCTTCATCTCCTTCTTGTCTGGGGTCCGCTTGGCCAGCGCCGCCCTGAGCGTCTTGGCGACTGCCTCGGCCTGCTTAGACGTGTCCAACAATGCATCCTTGGTGGGCTTCGCGAGCTTGTCGGCCTTGCAGCGCACGGAGTAGTCCTGGGCCTTCAGGGTCAGCTTGTTCATGGTGTTGATCGCCTTCCTCGTCGCAGCCTTGATCGTCTCGATATCGTTCTGAGGGGTAGGAATGAGAGTGAGGATAAGAGAAGGTGATAAGAAATAGTAGGATACGGTCACACCTTGGGCGCTGGAGGTTCCTCATGATCATGTTCGTCGCCAGCGCCGTCAGCATCTGAGTGTTCTGGCGGCAGCGGCTTACCTGCGGGCTTCTTCATGACGGCACCGAACATCGAGCTGGCGGTCTCAGCCTCGAACCAAGAGCTCATGGCAGTTGGGTGCTGGTCGTACTCCGATGCGTCGACACGCCTAGACCTAGGAGATCAAACAAGCGCACACACAATGTCACGACTGACGAGCCCTGAACAAAAACTGAAAGCATCAGAAGCGAACACTACCTTACATATTCAAACTGAAACCATACAATGATCAACGTAAAACTATTACAGATGCATTACAGATGTATTACGTAATACATCTGTAATGCATCTGTAATAGTTTTTGGTTGTTTCCAGGTATGTCAAAACCGCTTCAAACTGTTTCAAAATTGGTTTGATGTGTTCAGTGTTGCGCATTGTGTGCACCACTTGCTAGATACAGGAGCCCCATTGGACTTCTCAACTTCTGCAGTGATCTCCTCCCTGGTCGAAGTCTCCCTGTACTTCTCGTTTTTTGATCTAGCAGATGTCCCCGTCCTCATCCCTCGTTTCCTTGAATTTACCTTTCCGAATGAACTCAGCTGCTTCCGCTTCTCCATGAATCTGTTCCAATTCTCCTGAAATACTGGATGAGAGAGATAGAGAGAGAGAAACATGAGGTAACATAAAGGTAAGGACGAGTAGGATGTATACGCTGGGTAACCTGATCTCCTTTGTGCAAGGGTCTCTCCCTCGATCCACTGACAGATGATTTCGTCAACTTTTTGCTCCCTTTGACAAGCATTGTCTTCCACTGATCACCGCTGGGCTCCTTGGGGAACAACCAAAGAGTATCATGTTTTTCTCTTCTTTCCCGAGAGAGCTGGTAAAGCTGCGATCGCATCCCACGCTTCTCTCACCGACATCTCGCTCTTGTTCCGTGCAGTCTTGAGTTTCTGTCAGAGTGCCGACATCTCCGCCGATGAGAAAAACTATGTGATCTTCTTCGGGTCTGGCTCCTCGGGCTCCAAAGATAGAAAGGAACGCACGACTCCAAAGACAAGTAAGGATGGGATCCTGTGTGTGAGTGTTGTGTTATGTTGTGTCCAACCCGAGCTGAAAGGGAAACTCGTTTACCGAACTGAAGCTCCTTGCCCATGATCTTTTGGAACTCCTCGATGCGCCCATCTAGGACGCTCTTGTCAGCCCTGGGTTTTTTCACGGGTTCCTCCGAATCTGTTGGGGGGGCGGCCACGACGGCCGATGGACGCTTGGCAACCTTGGCGCCCTTGACGGGGTCGGCAGCAGCAGGTCGGGGGCCGACGCCTTTGGGCGCCATTCTGGCGCAGAGCGGGTCAGTTACCAACACCACCTGGCAGCTCGAGGATAGATGGCAATGGTCGAAGGCAGCAACAACACATTGACTTGGAATCTGTGATGTAAAATCACTGAGTCTGGGTCCTACTGTAGTGAGTCTGGCTATGAGTGTTAACGTAAGGCTGACTGTGAGTCTGCCTGTGAGTGAGTCTGGCTGTGTGTGTGAGTCTGACTGTGGCTGTCAATAGTCCTAGTATGAGTGTGAGTATGAGTCTGAGTTTGAGTCCCACTGTGAGTGTGAGTATGACTGTGAGTCTGACTGTGACTGAGTCTGAGTGCGAGTGTGAGTCTTGCTGTGAGTGTGCATCTGATTGTCAATACATCACTATGTGTGTGCTTCGAGCGCATGCTGTCTATAGATTTAATGCGTGTGTGCTGCGAGCGTGTCAGAGCACTCGCGGGTAAAGACTGGTCACAAGCGGCGTTCAAGATACTTCCCCAGAGCTCTGGCAGACAACGCCTGATCACATGCACGATACTTCCCCTGATCACACGCGGCGTGTACGATACTTCCCCTGATCGCAAGCGGCGTGTACGGTACCCCCCTGATCACATGCGGCGTGTAAGATACTTCCCCTGGCCACATGCGGCGCGTACGGTATTTCCCCTGATCACATGCGGCGTGTACGATACTTCCCCTGATCACATGGGGCGTGTAAGATACTTCCCCTGATCACACGCGGCGTGTAAGAGACTTCCCCTGATCACACGGGGCGCGTAAGATACTTCCCCTGACCACATGGGGCGCGTAAGATACTTCCCCTGATCACATGCAGCGTGTGAGATACCTCCCCTGAACACATGCGGCGTGTAATATACCTCCCCTTTCGAAACCCTGGCACGTGTGAGCGCCGTTTTGTTTAGCTTGATTGTTTCGATGATTTTTTTTGCGTTGTAGACTTGCTCCAATCGAACTTACAAGTCCCCCCACCAAGGAGCGCCATCACCATCGTTGGGTGATTCAGAGAACACGCCTGAGACTGCCGCACCCTCAGGCTCGGATTCCTCGTGAGGCTCCTCGTGAGAATCTGTTACAACAGCTGATTTTTTTTTTCTGATAGCTCTACTCGTCTTATTCCGTGATTTCTCAACCAATTTGCATTTCATCGCGACTGCTTTCCCTTTCGTGCTCTTATTCTGTATAATGTAATCGAAAATTTGCTTCGCAATGGCAGCATGAGTATCGCAATTCCCAGCATTCACAATAGAAGTCCATTTCCCAGGTTTGTCAACGTCTTGCTGAAGAAGATACGATGCTGCCGCGTACCGACACAGGCGAACCATGCCGAAACTTTTAGTAGCTGAAACGGGATGGCAACTCGCTGGCTTTTTCTTAACAACTGACAGTTTTTTTCATCCCCCCACGGGCTGTAGGCAGTGGTTCCGACGACCTCTCAACTGCTGCGCTGAACAACGTGCCCCCTGCACTCATATCATCGACATTGCTGGAGCTGGCGCCGAAACATTTAGGCACACCGCTGGAATCAACACTGATATCACTGTCTGACTCGAACAGCTTGCTGGCTGGAGGGCTGCCGGCACGAGCAGGGCTGCTGCGACAAGCGAGCGCGCGGGTGGCTGAAGGAGGGGCGATGTCGGCACCGTGGTGGTCCTCAGGGTCGGAAGCACCAGACAGATCAGACTTGTCAATCAAATCGTGAACCTCGTGACGAGCATTTGGGACAGTGCTAATGTATCGTTGTATCGTTTGCTAGTTCCAGTGCAACAGCGCGCACCACATAACCATACTTAACCAGAAGGTACACCTCTACGAAACTAGCCACTGAGTATATCGTAGTCATGGTACTGCTCGTCGTAGTCGCAATTGCAACGGGGATACTTGCAAACATAATCGTTTCAACATGTGTAGTAGAATTTGTAGTCGTAGTAGAAGTAGTACTTGTATAATCGGTACTCAGAGTAGCGGTAGTGCTTGTAGTACCAGTAATGACACTAGTATCAACAGTCGTAGTAGTAGTGGTAGTCGTACTAGTAGTGCTACTGGCGGCAATGGCAGTAGTAGTATTAGCAGTATTCGTGGCGGCAGTGGCGGTAGTAGAAGCCGTATTCGTAGTCGTGGTGGTAGTAGTTGTTGTAGTAGTTGTAGTAGTTCTAGCAGCCCTAAATAGTAGTGGTCGTAGCAGGCGGAACGTGGCAAATTTTGTATGAGGTGAGTGTGGTTATGTGGTGCGCGCTCTTGTAGTGGAGGAGGAGGGGGGGGAGGAGGGGGAGGTGGAGGAGGAAGAGGAAAGGAGGAGAAGAAGGAGGAGGAGGATGAGGCGGAGCAGGAGGCGGAGGAAGGGAAGGAATAGCCAACCGATACGGGTGATACATTTGCAGTGCCCCCGATGCCCCAAGAGCCTCCATCAAGAAACTGTCGAGCTCATTCTTCTCTGAAGAGGATAATCGCTTGACCAGCTGGCCGTACCTGTAGGTTTTTCTGAGCAGCGCCCGTAGATGAGCCAATGCATTCAATATCTGATAGCCAACTGTCCGTGAGAAATCAAAGTTATTGAACGTAGTTGTATTGATATCGATGTCGTACCTCGTCTTATAATACTTGATGAACCGACCAACCGCCGAACGCATTTCTAGTGGAAGGAAACGAATGTGTGCTGTCTCTGCACACAAAGCGAGCAAACGAGGCTTCATGCATTTGATGCCATCCCAATCCGCTCCCTGAGACCGTCTCAAAGAAGTGTACGAGCCGAACGAAAATATATCCTTAGAGGGAGTGGCATCAGCATACCTTTTGAACGCAGCGTCGAATTTTGAAGTTGAAGTCGGGGCGATCGGGCCAAGGTTGCATGCCCTCTTCTCTTTCACAGGCATATGATATGGAGAAATACGGTGGGCGCCTGGAGCCAGAATGGCTGTCGAGGAGTGGGAAGGGAGGATCATATAAGACAAAGTGCAGGGGTGAGCTCGGGAACCAAACGCAGCAAACGTAGTAGCAGCACTCGAAATAGTAATGGTCGTCGGGGGGGATGAGGAGGAGAGGGAGGAGGATGAGGATGAGAAGGAAGGGTGGGAGGAGGAGGAAGAGGAGGAAGAGGAGGAAGAGGAGGAGGGGGAGGAGGAACACAGCCCGCGGCCCACTTCTCAGGTCAGACGCCCCCCTCATGGTTTGACTAGTGCGAGACATAAGCCGCTGCTCCAGTTGGGCCCCAGGTGTGTGACGCCATGCTGTGCTATGCTGAGCAACGCAGTGCTACTCTATTCTATGATATATGATATGATATGCCGTGCACTGCTGTGCTAGATTTTAGAGAATACCATTATCATGTGTGTGCGTCTGTATGTCTGTGTGTCTGTGTGTCTGCGTGTCAGTGTGTATGTGTGTCTGTGTGTGTGTGGTGGTGGGTGGTGGTGGTGGTGGTGGTGGTGGTGGTGGTGGTGGGGGGTGGTGGGTGGTGGTGGTGGTGTGTGGTGGTGGTGGTGGGCGGTTGGGTGTGGTCGGGTTGGGTTGGGCTGGGCGGGGAGGGGGGGGGGGCGGGGGGGAGGAAAGAGGGGAGAGGGGCGGAGGGGGAGATGGTGGGGAGAGGGGGAGAAGGGAGAGAGGGGAGTGGCGGTTGAGGGGTTGCAGGGGGAGAGCAGGGGGGCGGGGGCGTGGAAGGGGGGAGGGGGCGGGGGGGGGAGGAAAGTGGGACAAGGGAAGGGCGATGGATTGGAAGATTGGGGGAGGAGGAGGTGGGTGAGGGGGGAAGGAAATGAGGGGATAAAGGGGAAGGGTGAGGAGGGGGGGAGAGGTGTGTGCGTGTGTGCGTGTGTGCATGCGTGTGTGTGTGTGCGTGT